AATTCAGGGTGAAAAGAGATAGTAAAACAAGTAAACTCCTTGATTACTATAATAGGAAATACTGAGGGAGCGAGTACTTGGACCTGTGGGCTCAGGACCATGGTCACAGAGGACATCAAGCTCCACTGGCATAACATACAACACAAACACCGTGTTCTACATCCTACTTTGTTGAGTAGCAACTGTGATCTTAGAAGCTTGCAAGCAGCCATCTAGTTGCAACAGTGGGTCTCTCCCAGTCCAGAGCAAAGAAGAATGATGAAAACCAAAGATACACTGAAACAATTAGTCCAAGGGACCAGCAGACCATGCAATCCTCAGCCTGTAAGATCATGAAACCAGAAGAACTAGGGGTTCCCAGCTACCACCGTCAACTACTCAGAAAGGAATCAATGCAGGAGATCCTAGATACAGTGTAAGAACAATGTGGAACAAAATACAAAATCATAAAAAAAAAAGACCAGATTTACTAGTCTGACAGAGGCCAGTGAGACCCCCAAGACTATGGCCCCTAGTTACCCTTCAGGTCTGGAACTGAACTCACTCCCATGGCTTTCAGCCAAACAACAGACAGGCATATAGGGTGAACACATACATCAGGTAGATACACTCCTTAGAGCAATCAATCATGGGAGAACAGAAGGGCAGTGTTTGCACAGGGAGATATCTCAGGTGGCAGGAATGCATAGGAAAGAAGGACACAGGGAAGAAGAGGTAACTAACAACAGGAAGGAAGTGGGAAGAGAGTTGCTACTTTGTGGAGAACTGCAGTCAATGTCATGAAAGAAAATGTGTATGAAATTCTGTATGAGAAATTAATTTTCTCTGTAAACTTTCATCCAAATCCCATTAAAAAAAAAATTTAATCTTTCCCTTTGTGATATCCTTTCTAGGAAAATAAATTCATTCCAATGGAAACAAAAGAAGTACCAAAAAGTTTACTTTCATAGTTAAGCAAACACTCCAGAAATGTACTCAATTATATTCAATTTTCTCATACTGTACATGATAATGGGCAGCATTCTATGTTATGAAATGAAACAGTATAAGTAAAAAGATTTTCAAAGCAGATAAGCATGAAGAGTTCTTTTTTATTTTTAATGATTTGCTGCTTAGAGTTGAATCACCTCCCCTCATTACCAACCTTAAGTTTCTATCCATCTGTAATGGTACTTTTAAAATCAGGAAATAAGTTTGAAAAATAATAAACTGAAAAAAATAAAGAGTAAGTAATTAATTGTTATTAATTAATACTGGTGAAATATGAAGCATCTAGAATCCAGGGTTGTCTTTTCATTCACTTAATGCTTTATGAAAGTGTGAATCTACATTCACAGAAATTAGAAAAGAGTATTTCTATACAGTCAAAATAATTAAATGTACCTTATTTTCACCCAAATAATACATGTCTTATGTGGGTTTTTTGTTTTTTTTTTTTGCAAACCACATAATCTTCTCACAAATTAGTTTCTATGCAAGTTATATGAGTATGCATGTTATTTACATAGGTATGTTACATGCAAAACTACTGTCCTTAACAATTATGGAAAAACAATCTCTCAACATTACTTTCCGATTCCTGAATGTAGCTCTCTTATACTGAGCACTTTAAAAAAAAAAAAAAACTAACATAACAATGTAAAAATTAAGTTTCACTTTCTAAATTTTAGTTCATTCATTTTCTAAAGTTTAGTTCTATCCCAACACAACTTAAATTTTATTATCTAAGAAGCTTGATATTTTTATATAGCATATGGGGCTATCAACTTGACAGCAATAGGTTTGGTTTCAATTTGGCATATAGAGCCAACAAGCCCAATTACACGTTAATTAGCACTACGGATATTCACAGCATGTACAGATGTAGATAAATCAAGTCATCCTTAATAACCTCTCTGTCAGATCTACGTATCAGTTTCCTAGGCACTGAAGATCCAGAAGTGAAAGTTTCATAGGTCCAAGTACAAAAAGTACAGCAGGTTATCATTTTACAAGTGACATATTTTGCCACTTAAATTATCAACAACTAAAACTATTACAGTTCACTGAAAATTCAAATATTGTTTAAGTCATCACAAGTTATTTCTATCTAAACTAAATAACTAAATAAAAATTGTTGTTTCTCCTATACAACTATGAGACCAGAAGAACTAGATGGTGCCCAGCTACCACTGCCATCCACTTGGAAGGGATGTAGGAGATCCTGCATAAAGACGGAGAACAATGTGGTACAAAACTCAAAATCATTTGGAGGCAAAAAAAAAA